GTCATTGCTTGTTTACCGACGCAACGTGACAAATACTAAAGCCGCAACCAACTTCAACTACAGTAATGTTGTATCAACTACTAGTGACACTTGTTTCAACAAAACCATATGGTTGAGATAACGTTGAGAACCCCCAGTTTTGCATTAATGATATAGTTATGACAACAGTATACAGTTGACTGAACCATCACATGGTTCGGAGGCTCTCAACCATAACTTCATGGTTGAGACAACTTTTCGTTTTTCTAGGTGAAGGTGGTGGAGTCATCTTGGATATGCGGCATACATTGGAGGACCTTCGTAGCTTTACCTTCGAGAGCATTTAGCAACGGGTTTGGTTTTCATCCACTTCCGAACGGGTTGAGCAGGAGCAGGAGTAGACGAAGAAGCCCTGGACGTCGACGGCTGGCATAGACGGTTTGTTGAAGATCGGCACACGCAGGCTCTCAATGTAACCCGCAAGTCGGAGAAGCGGCGATGAGCTGGTCCTCTACGAATGACTGCACTTGACGATTCAGTGGGTTTTCATTCAGTTGTTCGGTGGATAAACGATGCAGCATTTCGGACCACCCGCGATCATCGTTGCCAAGCTGACCATCATCACTGCCGCCGTCATCGTCGTCATCCTCGTGACCAGTGCCAGGTGGAGGCGGCTGCCAGTTATGGACTGCCAAACTACTGCCAAAAACGGGACCTTGACGAGCGCCTCGTCCGGAACCTTGACCAAACCTTGGCGCAAAGAGCCTTTGGCCGAAGAGTGGCTGGAGCCCTTGACCCGAAGGTCTTTGGCCGCCGAACCCGCTTGGCCCTTGGAGTTGATCGCCCTTGTTCGGCCCTTGTCCCGAACCTTGGCTACGTACTTGTCGCCGTTCGGACATATTGCCCTTTGAAATAAACTGGTGACGACACTCAAGCTTGCCTTGCTCTTGGAAGGACTGGACGTGGACGGAACTGACGGGGACTGATACCGGTAGACTGGACTGACGTCGATCGGTCGGGGGAAGACCAAACGGCGTCGCGATTTTACTGGTAGAACTTCGCTATTGGCCGAGCGGCGTCCCCCTCCACTACGGGAAGA